CTGCGGGTGCCAACAGGAAGCCCTTTGTCGCTCCCTGGACGCCTCTGCTCCGGCTTCTTTCAAGTCCAGCCGAGGGCGGCGGAGCGGCCGCCATCTCCCGGGTGACCGGCCCCCAGTATCCAGCCTCCGCCCCGGCCACCCCCAGCCGCTGCCGCACCTCCCCCTTCCCTGCTGGCCACTCTGCGTGGGGCTGCCACAGGGGGCCCTCGGGAGGCCCCGCGCCCCGCTGCCCGCCCTGCAGGGGAACCCCTCGCCCTTCAAGGTCACACACGTGACCTCTGGGCTCTGCCTGGTGACCCCAGGTGAGAGCCTGCGGCCGGGCGGGGCCGTCCTCAGCGGGGGGCTCAGACCAGGCGGGAGGCCGCCAGCCCTCCGGTGACGCCCGGAAACACTCATGGCGCCCCCTTGCCGTGCAGGGCCAGGCCCGGGGGGTAGGCGGGGGGTGCTGCTGCCCCCAGAGGCAGCTCAGCCCAGTTCAGGGCGGCCTGCTGTGCCCACAGGCCAGGAGCTGCCCAGGCGACCACTCTGTCCACACAGGTGCCGAGCCTGTTCCCTGGTGGCCTGGCGCCGCTCTGAGCCAACGGGGCGGCCACTCGCGGACGCAGGCCGCGGCCCTGGGGTGCACCCTCTGCGGCATGGCACCCTCTGGGGGTCTGGCGCCCCGGCGCTGCTGCCGACCTGCCGCCCCTCAGGAAGTGATGCGTCCGCGGCCACGCGAGCTTCACTCCAGGGAGCCAGGTCTGCTCTCTGAGGCCACCCCTCGGCGACTCCGGGGTGCCGAGTCCCGCCCAGGATCCCCAACTTCCAGTTCATAGACCTGCTGCCGAGGGCTGGCCCCGCGGGGCACGTGACCCCCGAGCCCTGGCTGGACCCATCCCTGGGACCCCAACGTCCCCGGCCCCCCGCCCGGACCCTTCGGTATCCCACTTGCTCCGTGACTTCCGTGGCCGCACACCCCTGCCCCCCAGGAACCGCCTCCCAGCCCCCCAGTCCAGTGGACGCAGTGCAGGTCTCCCGCCCAGCTGTGGAGTTGCTGGACTCAGGCCAGTGCCCGGCGCAGCGAGGCTGCACCCACCTTGGGGCAAGCAGGGGTGGCTGGGCACGGCCGCTCCCCAGGGACTGAGGCGCCGGGCGCCAGGCTGTGGCCACCTGTGCCCCTGGGGCCTGGCAGGAAGCCTGATCTGGGGTACAGGCTGTCCTCACAAAATGCGACCTGTCCTTTGGCCCCCACCAGGCCTATGTCACCACCTGGCTTCATGAAAGGGCTGGCGCAGGACGGAAACGCGAGGCTCCCAGCACAAGCAGCTGGGCAGGGGCAGGCGCTGGCCCCAGGCCCCTCCTGGCCAGCAGCTCCCCTGCCCAGA